GATCGTCTGAAGCCTTGTTCTCTCAACTCATCAAAGTCATTCTCCATCCAGCTTTGTTCTGTTGCTGGTGAGGAGCTGCATTCCTTTGGAGGGGGAGAGGCGCTCTGATTTTTAGAATTTTCTGCTTTTCTGCACTGCTTTTTCCCCATCTTTGTGATTTTATATACCTTTGGTGTTTGATGGTGGTGATGTACAGATGGGGTTTTGGTGTGGATGTTCTTTCTATTTGTTAGTTTTCCTTGTAACATTGAAGACCCTCAGCTGCAGGTTTGTTGGAGTTTGCTTGAGGTCCGCTCCAGGCCCTGTTTGCCTGGGTATCAGCAGCACAGGCTGCAGAAGAGTGAATTTTGCTGAACAGCAAATGTTGCTGTCTGATCGTTCCTCTGGAAGCTTCGTCTCAGAGGTGTACCCAGCCCTGTGAGATGTGAGGTGTCAGTCTGCACCTAGTGGGGGATGTCTCCCAGTTAGGCTACTCGGGGGTCAGGGACCCACTTGAGCAGGCAGTCTGTCTGTTCTCAGATCTCAAACTCCATGCTAGGGGAACCACTACTCTCTTCAAAGCTGTCAGACGGGACATTTACATCTGTAGAGGTTTCTGCTGCTTTTTGTTTGGCTATGCCCTTTCCTCAGAGATGGGGTCTACAGAGGCAGGCAGGCCTCCTTGAGCTGTGGTGGGCTCCACCCAGTTCGAGCTTCCCAGCCACTTTGTTTACCTACTTAAGCCTCAGCAATGGTGGGCACCCCTCCCCCAGCCTCGCTGCTGCCTTTCAGTTACATCTCAGGCTGCTGCACTAGCAATGAGGGAGGCTCTGTGGGTGTGGGACCCTCTGAGCCAAGCATGGGATATAATCTCCTCTTGTGCCATTTGCTAAGACCCTTGGTAAAGCGCAGTATTAGGGTGGGAGTGACCTGATTTTCCAGGTGTTGTGTGTCAAGGTTTCCCTTGTCTAGGAAAGGGAATTCCCTTCCCCCTTGTGCTTCCTGGGTGAGGTGATGCCTCACCCTGCTTTGGCTCTCGCTCGTTGGGCTGCACCCACTGTCCAACACACCCCAGTGAGATGAACCCAGTACCTCAGTTGGAAATGCAGAAATCACCCATCTTTTGTGTCACTCATGCTGGGAGCTGGAGGCTGGAGCTGTTCCTGTTTGGCCATCTTGGAACCCTAAAGGGAACTATCGCTACTTTTTTTTTTAACTTTTACATGGATGTCCTGGAAATTTGTATATATAAAATCTTTATATAAAATACACAAAATCTGTTTTCTTTCTTTTTTTTTGAGTCTTTTTTTTTTTTTTTTTTTTGAAACTAAGCTTTCCACTCTTCCCACAATATGATATTGTTTTTCAGATTTTCCAAATAAAACTGTGGTGAATATTTTAAAATAGTTTTTCTTCCCCTCTTTTGAGTCATTTTGTTGGGTCAAGTCCCCAGATGGGGAATTGCTGGGTCAAAGATTATCAGCATTTTTGAGGCTCTTGATGTGCATTGGCAAAATGTTTTGCAAAGGACTTGTTTCCAGCAATCCTCATTTACATTGTTTTAGCAACATACATGAGATTCTTTTTATTTTTTTACTGCAAACCCACTAACAGTGAATATTACAAGAAAAAGGTTTCTGAGCTCATTTACAATGGATAAATGATTTCTTCTGTACTTTTTTTTAAAATCACTTTCACTTTTAATTCAAGTTGCAGGGATAAAATTTTAAAAAAATCTGAAATAATTTCAAACTAATAGAAACATTTCAAATATAGTACAAAACCCCTATTTTTATCCTTCTCTAGGTTTTCCCAATATTAACAAAATCTACTCCCCCCACCCCACTCCTGTACATATCCATTATCACTAATCTTTTGAAAACCTTTTAAGAAGTTGCAGGTATGGTACCCTATTACCCCTAACTACTCCATTGTATTTCTCAGAACAAGAACATTCCTGTGTAAGCACCATCGACCCTCCAACTTTGGAAGTTAGCATTGATAACAATACTGCCATCCAGATCATGGACCCCAGTCAAATTTTACCAACTGCAATCATCTAGAAAAATGTGCTGTAAGGCTGGGCACCATGGCTCATGCGTATAATTCCAGCACTTTGGGAGGCCAAGGTGGGTGGATTGCCTGAGGTCAGGAGTTCGAGACCAGCCTGGCGAACATAGTGAAACCCCATCACTACTGAAAATACAAAAGAGTTAGCCAGCATGGTGGCAGGCGCTTGTAATCCCAGCAGGAGAATGGCTTGAACCCTGGAGGCAAAGATTGAAGTGAGCTGAGATCGTGCCATTGCACTCCAGCCTGGGCAACAAGAGTGAAATTCTGTCACAAACAATCAACAACAACAACAAAAAGTGCTGTAATAATCTATCTTGTCTTTTTTGGTCTTCTCCAGTTTGGAATATTTTCTCAGTCTTTGGAATATTTTCTCAGTCTTTCCTCATCTTTTGGGTCCTTGGCAGTACAAAATCTGTTTTGAATTAAGTTTTTCAACATTTACTGGATTAAGTGCTTTGTAATAATTATTGACATTTACTTCCTATTTCTTCTGAAGAGATATTTTTGATATAGGTTAGAGTGCACATTAAGAGGCAGGAAGAAGGCACAATACTAAATTTCTCTCATCAATTTGTGATTCTTCCCTCTACTTCTATATATAGATCACTCCAGGGAGAGCTTCCCCCTCACCTTCTCTACATCCTCTGTATTTACTCCCAACTCTCCACTCAGTTCTAAAGTCCATAGTCTTGTGAACTGTGATGAAGGTTACAGGAGAATCATTTTTGGAGATAAAATTGCTTTAGTTCTCTTTAGTCTTCCACTCCCTGACCTTAGAATGACCATGGAGTAACTCCAATAGTATCATGTAGATTCCCTGAATATTGTATAGTATAGATGTGTCATCTTTGTTCTTAATAGGTATAATAAAAACATACTCCTATTTTCTTTTATAAAATAACACAACTCAAGAGGGATAGATAATAGGTTCTGAAAGTTGCTGATGATCCAGATGGAAAATTCTTAAATACTATATTTTAAAATATAGTACACATAAAGAATATTTAGTATCACTTACACCTCTATCTATTTCAAAATTAGAGTTTTTTTTTTAACTTTAGGTTCATTAACAATAGTTACTATTTTATTAAAATATGACTATCAGTTTGAAAAATATTTTATTTAAAGATTTTAAATTTTGTTTCTTACAGGCTTTGACACTGGTTTATTAGGAATTATTTTACAAATTAAACACACAAAGTATTCACTTTTAAGAAGAAATACAAACATTTTTCTTAAAAAAGCCTTTCTTAAAAGTAATCTGTAGACTGTGGAATGTAGTATAATATGAATTCTACACAATTAAAGCTTTGGCAACTCAGTATCACTAATGATATCACTGTAGCATAACCTCTGTTACAAATTGTCTTTATATGTTTCTACTTTCAAATAAGATAAATTCAGGATTAATTGGTAAAAAAGTCTAAATTATTGGTTAAATGAAATGAAGTTTTAATAATTTTAAGCTCATATTATAAAACATGCCACTACTAAGTAGGCAGATATTTCTAAGATTCTCTCCTACAGGATCATAATGATAACTTATTTTAAGTTGGTATCAAATCCTTAGAGGGCTATTATCCTTAGGTGCTATTTTTAGTTATTCAAAGAAGACAAAGTATAATTTTTTTCCAGCATATTTTTTCTATAGTTACTTTTACTGTATAAAGTTACGGTGTAACTTTTATCTTAGGTGTAATAGTTTCATACAAAATCCTTATCTATTTTTTAATGATATTTTGAGGCTTATTACGTTATAGCAATTCATAGCTTACTGGGACAAGAAATTTTAAAAGCTTTGCACATTTTGTCTTTTTATTGTTTCCCTGTTCAATTCATTAAGAACATGAATAGTATTACATGATATAAACTATGATTTGATATAATGCCATTTATCAACTATAGTAAATTTTTAAAACAGATGGCTCACTTAGTACTCCCAAATAAATGAAAATTAATATAATAAAATACGAGTAATTGAAGAACAAAAGTGGATAACAAGTACATGGACAGTGTTCATTACTGGTATTTCCTTAGTGAATGTGGTTTATAAAATTCTGATATGCCCCATCAAACTTAAACTTGTTACAGCACTGAAAAATGGGCAAGTAGACCAAATGTTCCTAAGTATATTTCTTAGCAGAAAGCAATCTAAAGTAGCAGCATTTTTATTAAACTACAAAAATATTTTGATATTTATGATTTATTGTACAATTTATAAAGAACAATTTAGGGTACAGTTCTATTGCAGTGTGATAATTAATGATACTGTAAGTAGGAGACCATCTTTTTCAGACTTGTAGTCCATTGGAGAACTGGAAATTTAAATTGGCAGCTTATAACAAGATTTTAAATTATATTTTATTAAACTGAAAAGAATAGGTGGGATGAAAACAAAATATCATATAAAGAGGTTTTTAATAAAACATTTTTTCAGTTATATATACAATATGTATATGCATACATAAACATATACTCACTGTATACATATGTATACATATTACATGTGTATATGTATATTAATGAAGTATATGTAAGTGTGTACACAGAAACAAATTTATACATAAAATATATAGGTCTGAGTACAGGATCAGTGTCATTTTTTTATTTACTATGAGTCTTGGTCATCAAAGTTTGAAAGACACCGAAAAAGAAATTAATTTTATTCTTGTTTTAGGATATATGAAAGGGATGTTAGTTAATAACTATGTGAAGTCCATTTATCTCTTAAAAAGAAGTTGAAGGCTATAAAAAGATATCTAGTCTGAGAAATAATGGGTTGATTAACAGTAACCTAAATGATGCTGAAGGATAAAGCAGAACAAAATATTTCTGACTCATGATATGGAGAACATTAAATACTAGTGAAAAAAAAAAAAGGAATTCTCAAACACAAGGAGTTACCTCACATCCAGAAGTATTTTTGTGGAAGAAGCATTGGTACTAACCATATTCTATTGCAGCTTTGAGCAATGCCTCAGCATGAGTGGAGCCAAATGCATTGCGAACAAATCGTCTCCTTCGACGAAGATCATCTTCCCAGTAATCCAAACGCCAGAAATCATGCAATTGGCTAAGAGTAGAGGGAAAAAAAGTAATCCCTATTAATAACAATGTATAACTGGAAATACATTTTTCTATAAAATTGAAGTTATTTTGTTGGTCTCATTGAAAAATTAAGATAATGTGTATATATATATACACATTATATATATACACACACATATATATAAATATATATATACACATATATTTATACACATACACAAATACAAGTGTGAAATATACATATATATATATATATTCCCTCTACAACTGAAAAAGACTTAAAATAATAACATTCTTATATTTCAGGCATTATACCACTCAGCTCTGCTTTTTATTTTTTAAATTTTCTTATTTCTACTAAAAGCATTAATCATGTGGAGTTTAGTAACAAATGCAACATCAAATTACAAGTATTAATGGTACAGTTTGTTTCTTTTACACTATTTTTAACAAGGGATGTAAATCACAGAATACACCTCACTACAAATAGTTTACAATTTAATGACCATGGTTTCTTAGTAGGCTGAATTAAGAAGTATAAAATATTGCCCACTTGGATTTGGTGGAAAAATGATTAAAATAATGCACTGAAATATTCATTGAAATAATTCCCCACTGCCCACAGCAACCTGAGAAAAATGCAATTTTATCCATTATTAATAATACTGAACTAGAGCTGCAAAAATTTCCAGTATGTGGTAATTGTCTTGGTAAATTATTATTCTAATGCTAATAGAGTTCTTGGATGATTTTACAGCTTTCAACTAATATAAACCATTAATAGCCATGGCCAACATTGGCCATCACTGTCTTTTATACTCCAAACCAATACTAAAAATCCAGGAGATATTTCAGAAATGATGTAAATAGGCCCATTATATAGCCAATGAAATATTTTGTGATAATGATACAATTTTTGTTTGTTAGTTTAATTTCAGTAAACATTAGTAATAAATACCACTGCTTAAGAAGTCAATTTTTGTAATATTCTAATTTTCCAGAGCAGCAGTATTCATAAAAACACATAAAATACTTTCCTAGAAGATTTCACTTCATTAATTATTTTGATATTTTACTGTAGAAGAACACTTTAAGTCTGATTAAGGCAGGACCTATGTATGTTTTGCTCATCATTATATTCCTAGCACAATGTCTGGCACACAGCATGTTTTTACTAAATATTCACTGAATTAATGAAAACATTTTTTTAATTTCAAAAAAAACTATGGATTTTTTTCAATGTCTGGCCATTGAGAAAAATAATTTCATTTTGAAAGGCATTTTAGATTTTATGGCTATATAATTTTTTATCTATAATTTCATTATAAAAACCTGATAGTATAAAGGGCATATAAAAAGAACTAAAATTGTAAGTCTTTAAAGTATACTTTAATGCACTTATTTTTCCTGTACATCATAATTATAACTTAATTCTTCTGTTAAATAATGATTACTTGATGAATAATAGTAATAAATAGTATATCTCTCTAATTTAAAATAGGATGATTTCTATCCTTACAAATACAAACTAACCCCAGTAATTTAAGGAAGACCATGCTAAAATCCGGCTATATTTATTTTCAGTAAGATTATGTTAAAATTAAGTAACTGAATTCACCAAAAGCCGTCAGAGATCTAATGTTATCTAAAATTTCTAGCCCTAGACATAGTGTTCCCTATTCTTCTGTAAGGGCAGCTGAACAGTTCTGGAAAGGATATATAAAACAAACATAAGAAGACTCTGAAGACCTGAACCATACAAATTCTAGAAGATGACACTGGAAAAACTCTTCTAGACATTGGCTTAGGCAAAGACTTCGAGACCAAGAACCCAGAAGCAAATGTAACAAAAAAAGGATAAATAGATGGGACTTAATTAAACTACAAAGCTTCCTTCCGCACAGTGAAAGAAATAAGCAGTAAACAGACAGTGGGAGAAAATTTTCATAATCTATACATTGGGCAAAAGGAATCCAAACAAATCAGCAAGAACAAAACAAACAATCCCATTGAAAAGTGGGCTAAGGACATGAATAGGCAATTCTCAAAATAAGATATACAAATGGCCAACAAACCTATGAAAGAATGCTCAGTATCATTAATTATCAGGGAAATGCAAATCAAAACCACAATGCAATACCACTTCGCTCCTCCAAGAATGAACATAATCAAAAAAATAAAAATAAATAGATGTTGGTGTGGATGTGGTGAGAATGTAAACATTTTACGCTGTTGGTAGGAACGTAAACTGGTATAACCACAATGAAAAACAGTGTGGAGATTCCTTTAAGAACGAAAAGTAGATCTACCATCTGATCCAGCAATCCCACTCCTGGGTATCTACTCAGAGGAAAAGAATTCATTATACAAAAAAGATAGTTGCACACAAATGTTTATAGCAGCACAATTTGCAATTGCAAAAATATGAAACCAGCCCAAATACCCATCAGTCAATGAGTGGATAAAGAAAATGTTATATATATACACACACGTATATATATATATGTATATATACACACATATATACATATATATGTACACACACACACACACACATACTTTGGGGACTCAAGGGAAAGGGTGGGAGGTGGCTGAGAAATAAAAGACTACACATTGGGTATAGGGTACGCTGCTCAGGTGATGGGTGCACCAAAATCTCAGAAATCACCACTTATAGAACTTATTCACATAACCAAATACCGCCTGTTCCCCAGAAACCTATTAAAATAAATTTAAAAAAAGAGAAGGCTCTGAAAGGTGAGAGAAGGTAGACTGACTAAGGACCTCAGGACATAAGGAACAACATATTGATGAGTTCTTTTTGCTTCATATATTCCACACTTGGAGGCAAAGAGGCCAACAGCCCAGATAGACAAATGAGTGCAGACAAAAAAAAAAAGCAAAAAAAAAAAAAAAAAAAGCCCCAGCAAAAGCCTGCTCCCTCTAGTCAAAGGACGAGAAAACAGCAGATTAGCAAGATGGAAAACTTTTAGACAACTGCTATACTCCAGCCAAACATCACAGAAAAATTGTGTCCCCACCTGACCTACACCAGCAAAGGATGGCGGTGAAGCCCAGACATGTACCCTCATGAAGGTGTAATGAGATACCCAACACCCTTGCTGGGTGTTATCAGAGACCACCAAGTAGGCAGCCAGGACTTCATCTCTGCTGGCTGGTAACAAGGTGCCCCACTCACATGGAGTCAGTGGAGACCATGTGGAGAGGCTGGCTTTCGACCTCCCATTGGATAGTAATGCGGCATCCCTCCTCCTCCCCACTGGCGTAGTGTCAGAGGAAGCCTACTGCAGAGTCAGGATTTCTACTGCTGACAAACAACAATGAGGCCAGCCCACCAGTGGACATCACATGGGGACCGGGAACTCCCACCCCCATCAAGCAGTATGAGAAGAGCCCCTGACTCACTGGGTTTCAATGGACGTCAAGTGAAGAACTTAGATTTCTATTACCATGTAGCAGATATAAGACAGTGTCCCCTCTTCCAGATGAAGCATGTTATAGAAAGTCTAAATGGAAGGTTTAAATAAAATAAATTTTCTCAGAAAAAAATAAGAAAAGGTCCAAGTTTCAATCTAAAATCACTTGTCACACCAAGAAGCTGGAAAATCTCCAAGGGTATGCAAAAAGATCACCCCAAAATGCCAACATTGAAATGGTGAAGAATTTAAAGCAGCCATGATTGACAATATGCTTCAATATGCAATTATGAAAATATTTGAAATGAATGAAAAAAAAATACCCTTAGCAAAGAAATAGAAACTCTCAGAAAAGAAACAGAAGATGTAAGGAAGAACCAAATGGAAATTTTTGAACTGACATTATATAATAACCAAAATAAAAGCTCAGTAGATGTGCTTAACAGCAGAATGGAAGGGACAGAGGGAGGAATCACTTAATTGGAAGACAGGATAATAGAAATTATGCAATCCAAATAACAGAAGGAAATAGATGAAAAAGTGAACAGAGCCTTAGGGATCTGTGGAGCACAACATTTAGCATTTGTGTCACTGGAATCCTAGAAGGAGAGGAGAAAGTAGGCAGAGCCGAAACAATATCTGAAAAAATAATGGCGGAAAACTTTCTAAATTTGGCAAAGCCATAAATGTACAGATTTAAGTAGCTCACTGAACTCCAAACTAAATCCAAGGAAGTCCATGCTGAGACACATCATAATTAAATTTCTGAAAACTGAGCGCAAAGAAAGTCTAAAGAGCAGCCAGAGAAAAATGGCATCTCATTTAGAGAAGTAAAACAATTAGAATGACAACATATTTTACATCAGAAACAATGATGACCAGAGGAAGTGGCAAAATACTTTTTAGGTGCTAAAAGAAAAGAACTGTCAACCCCAAATCCTATAGCCAATGACGACACCTCCAGGAATAATAAGTGAATATGTCTTTAGATGAAGTAAAAGCCAGAATATTTATTGCTATCAGATCTAGTCTAAAAGAAAGGCTACAGGCAGTTCTGCAAACATGAGGGAGGTAATAGAAGAAACACTGAAACATTAGGGAGGAAGAAAGAACACAATAAGCAAAATATGACTATCTATAATAGGCTTTCCTTTTCCTCTTGAGTTCTCTAAATTATGTTTTACTGTTGAAACACAAATTGTAACACTGATGTGGTTCTAAGTGTATTTACTGGTAATATTTAAGATACATATATTATAAATGGGGGAGGGCAAAGGGATGTGAAGGGATGTAAAGTGTCTATATTTCACATGGACTGATAGAATGATAGCACCAGTAGACTGATAAGGCTATGCATAAAAAATGTAATACTTAGAGCAAACACTAAAAAAGTTACACAAAGGGATATACTAAGAAATGTAGATAAATCAAAACAGAATTCTAAAAAATGACCAAGTCACCCACAGGAAGGCAGGAAAAAAAACCTCTTGATTTAAAAAAGAATTCTCAAGGGAAAACAAAAAGAACACAGAACTGAATGAAAATCACAATAAAAAATATCAACACTTGTTGGACACAACTAAAGTAG